GGGTACAAGTACTAACCCTAATTGGGTTGTACCCCTTCTGGACTACCCTATTATGGGTACAAGCACTATAACATTCTGACATGCTACGCAGAACTGGACCGGTAAGAAAAATTAGCGGATACCATTCGAGAGTTCTCGTTGCGCCACCTTTGTCGCCACACTAAGTATTGCTTCGCCAATCGCTATCGGTCTGACCCCCCCTCAGGGCTTTTCCAGCGCTATTAACCTCGATGGTAGCAGGAGGTCCAGCTGTCAAAATGTTATATAGCTTATATTGTGTAGGCTATAGTGGGGTAGCCCATAAGGAGTACAACCCAATTAGGGTTAGTACTTGTACCCAACTCTTTGCTAGTTCATTCATTCTCGTTCGTTCTTTCTGACATGGTTTCAGAGCAAGTCCCTTCCTAGGACCGTTTTTTTTTTGGCCCACCACCTGCTGCCCTGCTAGCCACCTTCGTGTGGCCCTCCTCTCGACCCTAGGCCCCGGCCCGTAGCCTCGCGCCCGTCGCCCGTTGCTTGCGCCCGACGCCCCCAGGCCTCGGTCCCGGCCCGTCGCCCCTCGCGCGTAGCCCCTAGGCCCGTCGGCCCAGTCGCCCGTCGCTCCCCTAGGCCCGGCCCCATCGCCCCGTCGCTCGCGCCCGACGCCCCTAGTGTTGGTGCAACCCTACAGTTTGCATTCGGCTTGTTGTCCGTATGCGTGCATGAGTGTGTGCATGGAATTGTATGAGAGCATGAGAGTATATATATTTCATGCTTACAATAGTGTGTGAATGATGAGGCATGATTTTGAATGTGTGTGTCGAGTCAATAGCGAGTTATCGCTAGTCGCGTGTCATGTCGTCGTTTGCGTGTCGTGTGCGTTATTTCTATTTTGTCGTGTGTGTGTTCGGCGTGTCGCAGGTGTGCGCAGCAGACTTCCAAGAACTCAAGGAAGAAATTATCTTGAAGAACCAGAGCCTTGGTTTCAAGATTCAAGTGATTTCGAAGCTCTCCAAAAGGGTAAACTTCAAGATAGTGAGAATAGTTACATTACTTTGTGTAGTGTAACATTTCTCTTGGTGTAGGCCCTTGTGGAGGGTAGTTTCGAGACCCTTCGTGGTTGGGGACAGTGTGGCACTGTTCCACATCACTGTACCTCTGCTCTTGGGGTTTGTAGGAGCTGGGAGCCATTCCCAACTCGTAACTCTTCCTAATTTGTGTTCTAAGACTATAGTGGCTGCCATAGTATCGTTCGTTCAAACCAACGCTGTGTCGTCATTTCTTTATAAAATCGTGCAATCTAAATTGCTTATTGTAGGCGACGTTAAGACGCTCCAGATCCAAGTTGAATCAGGTCATTTAAAGCTGTGACCAGAACGCTATCAACGTTTCAATCCGCTGTGCAGAAATCCGTCAGTGCACTCATCTTTCGTTTTGACACATTCAAGCCTATTGTGACTATAACACCTAGGCCCCGGTTCCGGCCCGTCGCCCGTCACGCAACGCCCCTAGGCCCCTTGGCCCCGTCGCCCGTCGCTCCCCTAGGCCCGGCCCCATCACCCCGTCGCTCCCCTAGGCACGGCCCTACCCCCCCCCCCCCCCCCCCCCCCCCCCCCCCCCCGTCGACAAAGGCCCCTCGGCCCCTCCGTACCCGGCTCCTCGGCCAACTTCGTTCCTGGCCCCACGGCCCGTCGCCCCTAGGCCCCCGGCCCCTCGGCCCCACTTCGTTCCTGGCTCCGCGGCCCGATGCCCCTAGGCACCCGACCCCTCGGCCCCTTCGCCCCTGACCCCAAGGCCCGTCGCCCCTCGGCCCCCCCTTCGTTCCTAGCCCCGCGGCCCGACGCCCCTAGGCCCCCGGCCCCTTGGCCCCTCGGCCTCCCCCTTGGTTCCTAGCCCCGCGGCCCGTCGCCCCTAGGCCCCCGGCCCCTCGGCCCCTTCGTTCCTGGCCCCACGGCCCGTCGCCCCTAGGCCCCCGGCCCCTTGGCCCCTCGGCCCCTTCGTTCCTGGCCCCGCGGCCCGACGCCCCTAGGCCCCCGGCTCCTTGGCCCCTTCGTTCCTGGCCCCACGGCCCGACGCCCCTAGGCCCCCGGCACCCCCCTCGGCCCCTTCGTTCCCGGCCCCTCGGCCCCAGCTGCTACTGCTGCTACTACTACTGCTGCTACTGCTGCTGCTACTGCTGCTACTACTACTGCTGCTACTACTACTGCTGCCACTGCTGCTCCCGCGTGCTGCGCCACTATGGCTTCGCTTCGTGTTCTCGCCTTGCCCGTTCCTCCACTGTCCTCCCGTGTCCGGCGGTTCCGTCCGGCTCACTGTCAGGTCTTCACCTCCCCTCGTTCTCTACGAACTTGGTGAGTACCGCTGCCCTCCAGGATGCGATGGTCACTACCACCGCTCCTGGGGGTCAGCGTGTGTCGATCTGCACGTGTACACAAACGGGTCATCACCTGGCCATGTTCACTCGTCGGCCAGGGTCGAGTCTGTACACACTGGCTACCGAGCCTCCTCAGGTAGCTGCGTCCGCTCAGGTGTCCGCGTCAGGTCAGGTAGCACCCCTGTGCTCGTGTCGCCTCCTGTCGCACCAGACTCTTCTGTGGCACCACCGTCTGTGTCACCCCTCCCTCCCTCGCCTTCGTGGCATGCACTCTCGTCTTCTTGTCTCTGGCCTCCCCAGGTCTTTGCCTCCCCTCCCGCCCTCGCCTGCCCCGCCCTGCCTCCCTTGCGTCGAGGGGCGGCAACGCGCCGCTCCTCACTCCTCCTCGTTCCCCCCGACGACTGCTCCCCTGCAGACTCTCCACATGGACGTGTGGGGCCCAGCCCGCGTCAGTGGTCAGAGCCGCGAGCGCTACTTTCTGCTGGTAGTTGACAACTACACGCGGTACACCACACTCTTCCCCTTGCGCAGCAAGGGTCAGGTCGTTGATGTCTTGATCCCTTGGATCCGCACAGTCCGTCTCCAGCTCCGCGAGCGGCTCGGCCAGGACCTTCCTGTCCTGCGTCTGCACTCTGACAGAGGTGGTGAGTTCTCCTCCGACCTCTTGCGGGACTTTTGTCGTGGGGAGGGCATTCTCCAGTTGTTCACGCTTCCGGACTCCCCTCAGCAAAATGGGATTGCTGAGCGCCGCATTGGCTTAGTCATGGAGGTCGCTCGTACCTCTATGATCCATGCGGTTGCTCCCCATTTTCTGTGGCCGTTTGCGGTCCGGTACGCTGCGCATCAGCTCAACCTCTGGCCCCGTGTCTCCTTGCCGGAGACCTCGCCGACAGTGCATTGGACGGGGGAGGTTGGCGATGCGTCGGTGTTCCGGGTCTGGGGCTCTCGTGCCTTTGTTCGCGATTCGTCAGCGGACAAGCTCTCCGCCCGTGCTATCCCCTGCGTCTTCCTTGGCTTTCCCCCTGACGTGCCTGGCTGGCAGTTTTACCACCCCACCTCGCGCCTTGTCTTCCCCTCTCAGGACGACACGTTTGACGAGTCGGTTCCCTTTTACCGTCTCTTCCCATACCGCTCTGCCCCTCCCCTGCCCCCGCCGCTCTTCCTTGCTCCCGGTCCCCCTCCGGTAGACCCCCTCCCGCCCCAGGGTCCTGCTCCCTCAGGTGTGTCTCAGGTGGACCCTCTCCCTGGTACTGTGCCTGTTGAGGTAGCTGGCGACTCAGGTGTTGCTCGCGGTACTGTGTCTGGGGGTGCTGAGTCTGGGGGTGCGGAGCCTGGGGGCGCTGAGTCTGAGGGTGCTGGGTCTGGGGGTGCTGGGCCTGGGGGTGCGGAGCCTGGGGGTGCTGAGCCTGAGGGTGTTGAGCCTGGGGGTGCTGAGTCTGAGGGTGCGGAGTCGTAAACATTGGAGATTGTTGGTTACATTGTTAACTACTATGCTACAATGGTACACTCTTGGCGCAAAACCGATCTTCCAACCTATCGATCCGCTTCAGGTGATCTGTTCTGGGGTTCTCCCTTCAAATTTCAACATGAGAGAGCCTCAATGAACTTGGCCCGTTCGTCTCAATTAGAGCCAGGTCGGTAGTCGATGACGTTCCCTAGGGACAACGTACACTACTATACTCCCAGTTTGCTGCTTGGAGTGGATGAGAGGTCGTCCGCACTGTAGCCCATCCGTTAAGATTAGTGTCATGGACGTAGGATTGGGTAACACGTGTCATGGCTGCCTGTCGCGCCGGCACCTACAGGCCACGGTTCGAAAAACAAGTAAATCTGCGTGTTGCTGCACCATTTCGGCAAGTAGCAGAGTTTCACACGTGTGCATCGGCTTTCCCATGTGCCCAACTGCCAATGCTGCAATGCGTGTTGACTAAACAACGAAAAGAAGGAGGGCCGCATTGCACTCGAATGACTGCCAGTGGGCTGCCATGACGTGACGCAGTTTGCGGTCCCGCCAGGCAACCTCGGATCCCGGTGACGAGCCTCTCGGATGCCTGCCGTCGTGTCACGGGCGCGCCCGGCGGGAGGAAGCGCTCTGCTGCGCGGGCGACATAAGCGGGATGCAAGCAGCGTCCGTCTGAGAAAGTCTCTCCGGAGTCCAGACGGAGCCAAGCAAGCCCTCGGTGCAGATCAGACTCCTCTCGGTACTGTAACCTTAGCTCCTCTCGTCGCCCAGCTTTCTCGCTCGTCGCCTAGCTTCTCGCTTGTTGCCTACTCGCTCGTCGCCCAGCTCGTCGCCCAGGTTGTCAGGCCGCTGGCCCGTCGCTGGGGAGCAAGGAGGCATCAAGTCCCACGGGCAAAAGGGAGGGACGACGAGTTCATCCGCCAAGCTGCGTTCTCGCACTTTTTGCTGCCATTGCTGGACGAATCTTGCTCGTCAATCGTTACCTGCTGTCCTTCAGCTTCGCGCGTGCCGCCAAGTGATACTAGCCTTCACGATCAACCTCGTTGCTACGTGTTTCGCACTCGAAAACGAGTCGTTTTCGCTTCGTCGTCCCGATTCCCAGCCTCATCTCCCGCGCGTCGCGTCGCATTCCACTTGACCACGACCCGCTTTTTCTTCGACAGTAGTGGAAGTCTCGTTCTCAGCATGGAGCGGCCGTACCAGGGCGGCAGCGCGGCGGCGTGCGTGGAGGAAGGCGGCAGGAAAGGCGAGACCTTTGACGACGCCGCCGCGGAGAACCTCCTGGCGAAGCTTCGTCTGAAATTCCGGTCGGGCGAGACGCGGAACTTGGCCTGGCGCGCTCAGCAGCTGCGCAATCTGGTGCGAATGGCGGAGGAGCACGAGGACGACATGATGGCGGCGCTCAAGGCCGACCTGGGCCGCGGCCGCATGGAGGCCCTCATCGAGGTAGTACTAGTACCGTGGGCTCTTGGCTCTTTGAGCGCTTCCGAGTCGGCATATGTTCCAGAAGAATTGGGGATAGGCTGGCATTGAAGGGTGGCATGATCGATAGGCTGGCATTGAAGGGTGGCATGATCGATAGGCTGGCATTGAAGGGTGGCATGATCGATAGGCTGGCATTGAAGGGTGGCATGATCGATAGGCTGGCATTGAAGGGTGGCATGATCGATAGGCTGGCATTGAAGGGTGGCATGATCGATAGGCTGGCATTGAAGGGTGGCATGATCGATAGGCTGGCATTGAAGGGTGGCATGATCGATAGGCTGGCATTGAAGGGTGGCATGATCGATAGGCTGGCATTGAAGGGTGGCATGATCGATAGGCTGGCATTGAAGGGTGGCATGATCGATAGGCTGGCATTGAAGGGTGGCATGATCGATAGGCTGGCATTGAAGGGTGGCATGATCGATAGGCTGGCATTGAAGGGTGGCATGATCGATAGGCTGGCATTTGGGGAAGTGGATGGGTGAGTGGGCGTCGATGTGATGCTTGTCTGGTGCGCTGCGCACGGCGGAGGGGAGCACGAGTGCGATCATGGCGGCGCTCAAGGATCATCTGGACTGCGGCCGCATGGAGGCGCTCGTCGGCTTTCTGAGGCGTCTCAACATGTTTTGTCCGTTTTTTTTGTTCCCAAGGGTTTTTTAGGCTAACGTTGAGAGGACGACACTGGGACATTCGCTTCAGCGAAGCGGCATTTGCGGTTGGCGCTGAGAATCTGAGAAGGAGAGTCTGGGAGCAAAGCGCTACGAATGAGAACAAGACACGTGGCCGAATGAGTGACATGTCGGCCTTCCCTCTCAGCCTGCCTCGTCCTGCCGTGCCGCCCGCCTCCGATTGGGAACTAGCATACATCCCCAACCAAATTCGCCCGCTGTGTGGGTGCCATGCGCCTAGTTACATGCAACCTGCATTTGCATTGCACAGTTCTCTGACAGCCGTCTTCCTGTTCCCACTCAACCCACCCAGCCCAATCCGCCTGCAGGTGCGGGGCGTGTGGAACGTGGCGATCCAATTATTGAAGCTGCTGCTCTTCTTCCCACCCACTCACCCCCCCAATCCGACCCAATCCGCCCGCAGGTGCTGGGCGTGTGGAAGGCGGCGAGCCACATGCTGAAGCACTTCAAGAAATGGCTGCAACCGTACAAGGTGCGCCCGGGTGGCCGAGGAAGAGGGGGCTTGGGTGGGTGGGGATTGGGGCCTTGGATGGGGGGGGGAGGGGAGGGCATAGGGGTGGGGCATCCTTGGAGTGGGAGTGAGTGTTGCACTGATGGGCCTCAATGCGAGACGATGTGCCTCAGATGCTAGCTGACGTGACTGACTGCTGGGCTGACCGGTCAAATGACGCAGCAGAGGTACAGGAGTGGCTCTTTCCTCTCCTGTGACGCCTGCACTTGCGTCTGGTCGTCCCTCCCCCGCACCACCAGGTGGGCACGCCGCTGTTGTTGAGGCCAGGGCGGTCAGAGGTGCTGTATGAGCCGCTGGGCGTGGTGCTCATCATCTCGCCCTGGAACTTCCCCTTCCGTACGTCCACTCCCAACCGCTTCTCCTTACAACTTCCCCCTACGGGGCACGTTGTGTAAATGTCATGTCATTTCGCCCTCTGGAACTTCCCCTTCCGTACGTCCCCTCCCCACCCACTTTTTTTTGCTTTCTGTTTTGTTTTGGATTGTTCTGTTTTGGACCTCCAAGTCGTTTGTTTTGGCACCGTTCGTTTTTCTGTATCCAGGTTCCTGTGCTTCCTGTGCTTCCTGTGCTTCCTGTGGTTCCTGTGGTTCCTGTGCTTCCTGTGCTTCCTGTGCTTCCTGTGCTTCCTGTGCTTCCTGTGCTTCCTGTGCTCCCTGTGGTTTCACTGCATTCACTTCACAGCACTCCCAGCATCCACTTCACAGCACTCCCAGCATTCTCCTTCTCCCTTCCTCTCCTCTCCCTTCCTCTCCATGTCTACCCCCCTCAGTTCTGTCACTGGAGCCGCTAGTGGGAGCGCTAGAAGTGGGCAACGCAGCGGTGCTGAGGCCCTCAGAGGAGCTCTCATGGTGCCATCTCTCCTCTCCGCTCTATCTCGTGTTTGTTTCCATCCCCAAGTGCTGTCACTGGAGCCGCTACTGGGAGCGCTAGCAGCGGGCAACGTGGCGGTGCTGAAGCCCTCAGAGCTCTCCCCCGCCTGCTCGCACCTGCTCTCGCGCCTCCTTCCCCTCTACCTCGACTCGCACGCCGTTCAGGCAGGTGCTATCCACGCCAGGTGCTATCTCAGGCAGGTGCTATCCACGCCAAGTGCTATCTCAGGCAGGTGCTATCCACGCCAAGTGCTATCTCAGGCAGGTGCTATCCACGCCAGGTGCTATATCAGGCAGGTGCTATCCACGCCAGGTGCTATCTCAGGCAGGTGCGATCTGTGGCAGGTGCCATCTGAGCCAAGTGTATTCGAGGAAGGTTCTTTGTGGTACAACAGCAGGCAGTAAAATGCATAGTTACAAATGCCAAGTGTTACAGGTGCTGTTGTGGCGAACTCTCCCATTCCGTTTCGTGGAATCCCAGACCCTTACGAACGCCCGCCTTGAACCTTCTCCCACACAGACCTATCCACTGGAAGAGCTGCAGTGCGCTCAGAGTGACACAGGGGGCGACGCCTGCACATGCAGGCAGCAGCACATCCCTGCGGTTCGCTCTCATCCCCACCCCCCTTCTTCCCCAACCCCCCCCCTTCCCCTTGTGTCACAAGGGGAAGGCGGGCCAGGCACAGGCAAGGATTGGAACCGCCTCTGCACTCGTGTCTGCCCATGTGCCTTCCGCACTGCTTTGAGTCGACCTAACAGTCTTAAGGCGGCCCAGGCAGAGGCAAGCTAGGCCGCCTCAAAAGCTCACCCTTGCTTTCTCCCCGTGTGCTTCTACCCCCCTCCTTTTTTTCCTTGTTCTTTCCCCCCCTCTGCCCTTGCCCCTGCCCTGAAATCAGCAGGTGGTGGAAGGCGGCCCAGAGACAGGAAAGGCGCTGCTGGGGCAGCGGTGGGATAAAATCTTCTTTACAGGCGGCACGCCACTTGGGCGCATTGTGATGGAGGCGGCAAGTAAGCATTTGACACCTGTCACTCTGGAGCTGGGCGGCAAAAATCCACTGTTTATCGACGAGTCGGCTGACCTGGAGGTGTGTGCTGCTGACCTGGAGGTGTTTGCTGTTGACCTGGAGGTGTGTGCTGCTGATCTGGAGGTGTGTGCTGCTGATCTGGAGGTGTGTGCTGCTGTCTCAAATGCAATGTGAATGCATGCCCCATGTCTCATATCATATGACACATGGTGGTGCATACCCCATGGCACATGACACACGGTGGTGCATACCCATTGGCACATGACACATGGTGGTGCATACCCATTGGCACATGACACATGGTGGTGCATACCCATTGGCACATGACACATGGTGGTGCATACCCATTGGCACATGACACATGGTGGTGCATACCCATTGGCACATGACACATGGTGGTGCATACCCATTGGCACATGACACATGGTGGTGCATACCCATTGGCACATGACACATGGTGGTGCATACCCATTGGCACATGACACATGGTGGTGCATACCCATTGGCACATGACACATGGTGGTGCATACCCCATGGCACATGACACACAGCACATGCGAGACCCCTTTTTCCCACGCCTCCCACCCCTTTTCACAATGTGCATGCATGCAACACATGGACCAATGCGTCACGCCCCTCACCGCACTCGTGAGTTCACCCAATGTACTGAATCCTTTGCACGTGTGCTTTCTCAAATGCTCCACCCGTGTCCCATCCCATGCTCCATGCCCCATGCACCCCCCATGCTTGATGCTTTGGGCCATGCCCATTGCCCCATGACCCATGCCCCATGCACCGTGCCCCATGCCCCATGCGCCGTGCCCCATGCTCAGGTGTCAGCGAGGCGGATTGTGTCGGGCAAGTGCACGAACGCGGGGCAGGTGTGCCTCCTGCCCGACTATATTCTGGCCACTAAGGAGGTTGCTGCGACGCTGGTGAGCGGGGCGGGGCAGATGGGGCGAAAGGGCAGGGATTCGGGCAGAGGGCGCAGGTGCGCGGGAAAGGGAACTAGGATTAAATGGGAGGGCAGGCGTGCCTGGTGCCCGACTATATCCGCGCCACCAAGGACATGGCTGCTAGACTGGTGCGTTTAGGGGATGGCATAAGGATGTTGAAAGAGGGACAGAGCAGTAAGATGAATTGAAAGGACGGGCAGGTGTGCCTGGAGCCCGACTATATCCTCGTCACCAAGGACGTGGCTGCTAGACTGGTGGGGGGGGGAGAAGGGGCAGAAATAGGGGCGGAAGGTACAGAGATAGGGAGAGAAGTGGTTGGTATTGGGGCAAGGGAATGTAGGAAGAAGGGGAGGGCAGGTCTGCCTGGAGCATTTCTATGGCAACAACCCCGCTCCCTGCCCACCTCGCTCCTGCTCTCTGAATCCCCTCTCCTTGTCTGCTCTCTGTCTGCCCTCCTCTCTTGCCCCCCCCACAGCTGCCCCATCTGAAGGCAGCCATGGAGCAGTTTTACGGCAGCAACCCCGCTGTCTGTCTGCCCAGTGCCCACCCACCTCGCTCCTGTTGTTTGAATCGCCTTTCCTTGTCTGCTCTCTGAATCTCCTTTCCTTCTCTGCTCGCTGCCCTCTCTCCTCGCCCACCCCCCCACCCCCCCTCCCCCACAGCTGCCCCATCTGAAGGCCACCATGGAGCAGTTTTACGGCAGCAACCCTGCTGTCTGCCCTGACCTCGCCCGCATCATCAACACCTCCCACCTGCTCCGCCTGCGGAAGCTTCTCGACCATCCTGCTACCGCCTCCTGTGTCGTGCACGGGGGGCAGAGCAATGTGGAATCGAGGTGAGTCAGTGTGAGTCAACGCGGGTCAACTGAGTCAAGGAGAGTCCGCAGAGGTGGCCATTAGCCTCCCACCTGCACCGCCTGCGGAAGCTTCTGGAGCACCCTGCCACTGCCTCCTGTGCCATCCACAGGGGGCAGAGAGATGTGGAATCGAGGTGATTCAAGGTGATTCAAGGTGATTCAAGGTGATTCAAGGTGATTCAAGGTGACTCAAGGTGACTCAAGGTGATTCAAGGTGATTCAAGGCGATTCAAGGTGATTCAAGGTGACGCAAGGTGACTCAAGGTGACTCAAGGTGACTCAAGGTGATTCAAGGTGATTCAAGGTGATTCAAGGTGACTCAAGGTGATTCAAGGTGACTCAAGGTGACTCAAGGTGATTCAAGGTGACTCAAGGTGACTCAAGGTTACTCAAGGTGACTCAAGGTGAGTGAACGCAGGTCAATGTGGTTTCCTAGTTCCCCTCACTTCTGCTATAATTGACAAAAAAACAAAAACAAAAAAAACTAAGTAGAAACAAAAAAAAAGCCACTTTAAAAACACCACCCTATTTTGATAGCCAATCCAATTGTTCGTTTACCCTGATAACTCCTCTCCTCTTCAATTCTCCTCGGCACACCCTCCCTCCCCCCCCCTTCACCCACCCTGCTTAATCTCCCACACCCCCCCCTCCCCCCCGGCACCAGATTCTTCGCCACGGCGCTGCTGGTCAACATGCCCTGGGATGCCCCTTCTTGATCCGACCGAGAGACAAGTTTTCCGCCTCCCCCCGCCCGCGACCATGCCTCCCCCCTCCTCTCCCCTCTCTCTCTCCTCCCCACTAGGTACTTCGCCCCAACGCTGCTGCTCAACGTGCCCTGGGATGCCCCCATCATGCAGTCCGAGATCTTTGGGCCCATCCTGGCCATCCAAACAGTGAGATCCCTCATCCTAGCCGTCTGTTCTCCCTACCTCCTCGTTCCCCACAGTCTCAACCTGAAAGCCCCACTATCTCTGGCTCCACTCCCCACTGCCCCTCCCCTCACCCGTGCCCATACATTCACGGCATCTCACCTATTTCCATCTACGCGTGTCATATGCACTCATGCAGACACATCATCAGTACCCATGTCGTGTCTACGGGTTTTTCTCTCCCTAGACAGCACTGCTACCCCCCTCTTTATCGCCCCCATCAGCTGTCAGGAATCGACGAGCCCATCAGCATCATCAGCGCACGCCACAAGCCGCTGAGCCCCCAGTGATAGTCGTTTTCTGTCTGCCCATGTGCCTTCTCTGCCCTTCTTCTCCCCCCTCCCTCACCCCCATCAGGTGTGAGGAATCCACGAGGATGACTCAAGCCTCATCAATGCGCGCGCCCCAAGCATCTCAACCCCCACTCCAGCGACAATACTTTTCGTCCGCCCATGTGCTTTCTCTGCGCTTTCTTCGTCAGGTGTCAGGAGTGGACGAGGCCATTGAAATCGTCAATGCGCGCCCCAAGCCGCTCGTGGTGATGGTCTTCACGTCCCGGGAGGACGTGCGGCAGCGCTTCCTCAAGGAGACCAGCTCGGGGGCTGTGGTGGCCTATGAGCTCATCCTGCAGGTGTGGGGGAGGGGAGAGGGTTCTGGGGGGGGAAAGGGAGAAAGAGAAGTATGGGGTTAGTGAGTATGATCACCTCCCGAGAGGACGTGCGGCATCGCGTCCTCAAGGAGAGCAGCTCGGGGGCTATGGTGGCCTATGAGCTCATCCTGCAGGTGTGGGGGAGGGGAGAGGGTTCTGGGGGGGGGAAGGGAGAAAGAGAAGTATGGGGTTAGTGAGTATGATCACCTCCCGAGAGGACGTGCGGCATCGCGTCCTCAAGGAGAGAAGCTCGGGGTCTGTGGTGGCCTATGAGCTCATCCTGCAGGTGTGGGGGAGGGGAGAGGGTTCTGGGGGGGAAAAGGGAGAAAGAGAAGTATGGGGTTAGTGAGTATGATCACCTCCCGAGAGGACGTGCGGCATCGCGTCCTCAAGGAGAGAAGCTCGGGGGCTATGGTGGCCAATGAGCTCATCCTGCAGGTGTGGGGGAGGGGAGAGGGTTCTGGGGGGGAAAAGGGAGAAAGAGAAGTATGGGGTTAGTGAGTATGATCACCTCCCGAGAGGACGTGCGGCATCGCGTCCTCAAGGAGAGCAGCTCGAGGGCTATGGTGGCCTATGAGCTCATCCTGCAGGTGTGGGGGAGGGGAGAGGGTTCTGGGGGGGGAAAGGGAGAAAGAGAAGTATGGGGTTAGTGAGTATGATCACCTCCCGAGAGGACGTGCGGCATCGCGTCCTCAAGGAGAGCAGCTCGGGGGCTATGGTGGCCTATGAGCTCATCCTGCAGGTGTGGGGGAGGGGAGAGGGTTCTGGGGGGGAAAAGGGAGAAAGAGAAGTATGGGGTTAGTGAGTATGATCACCTCCCGAGAGGACGTGCGGCATCGCGTCCTCAAGGAGAGAAGCTCGGGGGCTATGGTGGCCAATGAGCTCATCCTGCAGGTGTGGGGGAGGGGAGAGGGTTCTGGGGGGGAAAAGGGAGAAAGAGAAGTATGGGGTTAGTGAGTATGATCACCTCCCGAGAGGACGTGCGGCATCGCGTCCTCAAGGAGAGCAGCTCGAGGGCTATGGTGGCCTATGAGCTCATCCTGCAGGTGTGGGGGAGGGGAGAGGGTTCTGGGGGGGGAAAGGGAGAAAGAGAAGTATGGGGTTAGTGAGTATGATCACCTCCCGAGAGGATGTGCGGCATCGCGTCCTCAAGGAGAGCAGCTCGGGGGCTATGGTGGCCTATGAGCTCATCCTGCAGGTGTGGGGGAGGGGAGAGGGTTCTGGGGGGGAAAAGGGAGAAAGAGAAGTATGGGGTTAGTGAGTATGATCACCTCCCGAGAGGACGTGCGGCATCGCGTCCTCAAGGAGAGAAGCTCGGGGGCTGTGGTGGCCTATGAGCTCATCCTGCAGGTGTGGGGGAGGGGAGAGGGTTCTGGGGGGGGGAAGGGAGAAAGAGAAGTATGGGGTTAGTGAGTATGATCACCTCCCGAGAGGACGTGCGGCATCGCGTCCTCAAGGAGAGAAGCTCGGGGGCTGTGGTGGCCTATGAGCTCATCCTGCAGGTGTGGGGGAGGGGAGAGGGTTCTGGGGGGGAAAAGGGAGAAAGAGAAGTATGGGGTTAGTGAGTATGATCACCTCCCGAGAGGACGTGCGGCATCGCGTCCTCAAGGAGAGAAGCTCGGGGGCTATGGTGGCCAATGAGCTCATCCTGCAGGTGTGGGGGAGGGGAGAGGGTTCTGGGGGGGAAAAGGGAGAAAGAGAAGTATGGGGTTAGTGAGTTTGATCACCTCCCGAGAGGACGTGCGGCATCGCGTCCTCAAGGAGAGAAGCTCGGGGGCTGTGGTGGCCTATGAGCTCATCCTGCAGGTGTGGGGGAGGGGAGAGGGTTCTGGGGGGGAAAAGGGAGAAAGAGAAGTATGGGGTTAGTGAGTATGATCACCTCCCGAGAGGACGTGCGGCATCGCGTCCTCAAGGAGAGCAGCTCGGGGGCTATGGTGGCCTATGAGCTCATCCTGCAGGTGTGGGGGAGGGGAGAGGGTTCTGGGGGGGAAAAGGGAGAAAGAGAAGTATGGGGTTAGTGAGTATGATCACCTCCCGAGAGGACGTGCGGCATCGCGTCCTCAAGGAGAGAAGCTCGGGGGCTGTGGTGGCCTATGAGCTCATCCTGCAGGTGTGGGGGAGGGGAGAGGGTTCTGGGGGGGGGAAGGGAGAAAGAGAAGTATGGGGTTAGTGAGTATGATCACCTCCCGAGAGGACGTGCGGCATCGCGTCCTCAAGGAGAGCAGCTCGGGGGCTATGGTGGCCTATGAGCTCATCCTGCAGGTGTGGGGGAGGGGAGAGGGTTCTGGGGGGGAAAAGGGAGAAAGAGAAGTATGGGGTTAGTGAGTATGATCACCTCCCGAGAGGACGTGCGGCATCGCGTCCTCAAGGAGAGAAGCTCGGGGGCTGTGGTGGCCTATGAGCTCATCCTGCAGGTGTGGGGGAGGGGAGAGGGTTCTGGGGGGGGAAAGGGAGAAAGAGAAGTATGGGGTTAGTGAGTATGATCACCTCCCGAGAGGACGTGCGGCATCGCGTCCTCAAGGAGAGAAGCTCGGGGGCTGTGGTGGCCTATGAGCTCATCCTGCAGGTGTGGGGGAGGGGAGAGGGTTCTGGGGGGGGGAAGGGAGAAAGAGAAGTATGGGGTTAGTGAGTATGATCACCTCCCGAGAGGACGTGCGGCATCGCGTCCTCAAGGAGAGAAGCTCGGGGGCTGTGGTGGCCTATGAGCTCATCCTGCAGGTGTGGGGGAGGGGAGAGGGTTCTGGGGGGGAAAAGGGAGAATGAGAAGTATGGGGTTAGTGAGTATGATCACCTCCCGAGAGGACGTGCGGCATCGCGTCCTCAAGGAGAGCAGCTCGAGGGCTATGGTGGCCTATGAGCTCATCCTGCAGGTGTGGGGGAGGGGAGAGGGTTCTGGGGGGGGAAAGGGAGAAAGAGAAGTATGGGGTTAGTGAGTATGATCACCTCCCGAGAGGATGTGCGGCATCGCGTCCTCAAGGAGAGCAGCTCGGGGGCTATGGTGGCCTATGAGCTCATCCTGCAGGTGTGGGGGAGGGGAGAGGGTTCTGGGGGGGAAAAGGGAGAAAGAGAAGTATGGGGTTAGTGAGTATGATCACCTCCCGAGAGGACGTGCGGCATCGCGTCCTCAAGGAGAGAAGCTCGGGGGCTGTGGTGGCCTATGAGCTCATCCTGCAGGTGTGGGGGAGGGGAGAGGGTTCTGGGGGGGGGAAGGGAGAAAGAGAAGTATGGGGTTAGTGAGTATGATCACCTCCCGAGAGGACGTGCGGCATCGCGTCCTCAAGGAGAGAAGCTCGGGGGCTGTGGTGGCCTATGAGCTCATCCTGCAGGTGTGGGGGAGGGGAGAGGGTTCTGGGGGGGGGAAGGGAGAAAGAGAAGTATGGGGTTAGTGAGTATGATCACCTCCCGAGAGGACGTGCGGCATCGCGTCCTCAAGGAGAGCAGCTCGGGGGCTATGGTGGCCTATGAGCTCATCCTGCAGGTGTGGGGGAGGGGAGAGGGTTCTGGGGGGGAAAAGGGAGAAAGAGAAGTATGGGGTTAGTGAGTATGATCACCTCCCGAGAGGACGTGCGGCATCGCGTCCTCAAGGAGAGAAGCTCGGGGGCTGTGGTGGCCTATGAGCTCATCCTGCAGGTGTGGGGGAGGGGAGAGGGTTCTGGGGGGGGAAAGGGAGAAAGAGAAGTATGGGGTTAGTGAGTATGATCACCTCCCGAGAGGACGTGCGGCATCGCGTCCTCAAGGAGAGAAGCTCGGGGGCTGTGGTGGCCTATGAGCTCATCCTGCAGGTGTGGGGGAGGGGAGAGGGTTCTGGGGGGGAAAAGGGAGAAAGAGAAGTATGGGGTTAGTGAGTATGATCACCTCCCGAGAGGACGTGCGGCATCGCGTCCTCAAGGAGAGCAGCTCGGGGGCTATGGTGGCCTATGAGCTCATCCTGCAGGTGTGGGGGAGGGGAGAGGGTTCTGGGGGGGAAAAGGGAGAAAGAGAAGTATGGGGTTAGTGAGTATGATCACCTCCCGAGAGGACGTGCGGCATCGCGTCCTCAAGGAGAGAAGCTCGGGGGCTGTGGTGGCCTATGAGCTCATCCTGCAGGTGTGGGGGAGGGGAGAGGGTTCTGGGGGGGAAAAGGGAGAAAGAGAAGTATGGGGTTAGTGAGTATGATCACCTCCCGAGAGGATGTGCGGCATCGCGTCCTCAAGGAGAGCAGCTCGGGGGCTATGGTGGCCTATGAGCTCATCCTGCAGGTGTGGGGGAGGGGAGAGGGTTCTGGGGGGGAAAAGGGAGAAAGAGAAGTATGGGGTTAGTGAGTATGATCACCTCCCGAGAGGACGTGCGGCATCGCGTCCTCAAGGAGAGAAGCTCGGGGGCTGTGGTGGCCTATGAGCTCATCCTGCAGGTGTGGGGGAGGGGAGAGGGTTCTGGGGGGGAAAAGGGAGAAAGAGAAGTATGGGGTTAGTGAGTATGATCACCTCCCGAGAGGACGTGCGGCATCGCGTCCTCAAGGAGAGCAGCTCGAGGGCTATGGTGGCCTATGAGCTCATCCTGCAGGTGTGGGGGAGGGGAGAGGGTTCTGGGGGGGGAAAGGGAGAAAGAGAAGTATGGGGTTAGTGAGTATGATCACCTCCCGAGAGGATGTGCGGCATCGCGTCCTCAAGGAGAGCAGCTCGGGGGCTATGGTGGCCTATGAGCTCATCCTGCAGGTGTGGGGGAGGGGAGAGGGTTCTGGGGGGGAAAAGGGAGAAAGAGAAGTATGGGGTTAGTGAGTATGATCACCTCCCGAGAGGACGTGCGGCATCGTGTCCTCAAGGAGAGAAGCTCGGGGGCTGTGGTGGCCTATGAGCTCATCCTGCAGGTGTGGGGGAGGGGAGAGGGTTCTGGGGGGGAAAAGGGAGAAAGAGAAGTATGGGGTTAGTGAGTATGATCACCTCCCGAGAGGACGTGCGGCATCGCGTCCTCAAGGAGAGCAGCTCGGGGGCTATGGTGGCCTATGAGCTCATCCTGCAGGTGTGGGGGAGGGGAGAGGGTTCTGGGGGGGAAAAGGGAGAAAGAGAAGTATGGGGTTAGTGAGTATGATCACCTCCCGAGAGGACGTGCGGCATCGCGTCCTCAAGGAGAGAAGCTCGGGGGCTATGGTGGCCTATGAGCTCATCCTGCAGGTGTGGGGGAGGGGAGAGGGTTTTGGGGGGGAAATGGGAGAAAGAGAAGTATGGGGTTAGTGAGTATGATCACCTCCCGAGAGGACGTGCGGCATCGCGTCCTCAAGGAGAGAAGCTCGGGGGCTGTGGTGGCCTATGAGCTCATCCTGCATGTGTGGGGGAGGGGAGAGGGTTCTGGGGGGGAAAAGGGAGAAAGAGAAGTATGGGGTTAGTGAGTATGATCACCTCCCGAGAGGACGTGCGGCATCGCGTCCTCAAGGAGAGAATTTCGGGGGCTGTGGTGGCCTATGAGCTCATCCTGCAGGTGTGGGGGAGGGGAGAGGGTTCTGGGGGGGAAAAGGGAGAAAGAGAAGTATGGGGTTAGTGAGTATGATCACCTCCCGAGAGGACGTGCGGCATCGCGTCCTCAAGGAGAGCAGCTCGGGGGCTATGGTGGCCAATGAGCTCATCCTGCAGGTGTGGGGGAGGGGAGAGGGTTCTGGGGGGGAAAAGGGAGAAAGAGAAGTATGGGGTTAGTGAGTATGATCACCTCCCGAGAGGACGTGCGGCATCGCGTCCTCAAGGAGAGCAGCTCGAGGGCTATGGTGGCCTATGAGCTCATCCTGCAGGTGTGGGGGAGGGGAGAGGGTTCTGGGGGGGAAAGGGAGAAAGAGAAGTATGGGGTTAGTGAGTATGATCACCTCCCGAGAGGACGTGCGGCATCGCGTCCTCAAGGAGAGAAGCTCGGGGGCTGTGGTGGCCTATGAGCTCATCCTGCAGGTGTGGGGGAGGGGAGAGGGTTCTGGGGGGGAAAAGGGAGAAAGAGAAGTATGGGGTTAGTGAGTATGATCACCTCCCGAGAGGACGTGCGGCATCGCGTCCTCAAGGAGAGAAGCTCGGGGGCTATGGTGGCCAATGAGCTCATCCTGCAGGTGTGGGGGAGGGGAGAGGGTTCTGGGGGGGAAAAGGGAGAAAGAGAAGTATGGGGTTAGTGAGTATGATCACCTCCCGAGAGGATGTGCGGCATCGCGTCCTCAAGGAGAGCAGCTCGGGGGCTATGGTGGCCTATGAGCTCACGCCTAGCAGCTCGGGGGCTATGGTGGCCTATGAGCTCATCCTGCAGGTGTGGGGGAGGGGAGAGGGTTCTGGGGGGGAAAAGGGAGAAAGAGAAGTATGGGGTTAGTGAGTATGATCACCTCCCGAGAGGACGTGCGGCATCGCGTCCTCAAGGAGAGCAGCTCGGGGGCTATGGTGGCCTATGAGCTCATCCTGCAGGTGTGGGGGAGGGGAGAGGGTTCTGGGGGGGAAAAGGGAGAAAGAGAAGTATGGGGTTAGTGAGTATGATCACCTCCCGAGAGGACGTGCGGCATCGCGTCCTCAAGGAGAGCAGCTCGGGGGCTATGGTGGCCTATGAGCTCATCCTGCAGGTGTGGGGGAGGGGAGAGGGTTCTGGGGGGGAAAAGGGAGAAAGAGAAGTATGGGGTTAGTGAGTATGATCACCTCCCGAGAGGACGTGCGGCATCGCGTCCTCAAGGAGAGAAGCTCGGGGGCTGTGGTGGCCTATGAGCTCATCCTGCAGGTGTGGGGGAGGGGAGAGGGTTCTGGGGGGGGAAAGGGAGAAAGAGAAGTATGGGGTTAGTGAGTATGATCACCTCCCGAGAGGACGTGCGGCATCGCGTCCTCAAGGAGAGAAGCTCGGGGGCTGTGGTGGCCTATGAGCTCATCCTGCAGGTGTGGGGGAGGGGAGAGGGTTCTGGGGGGGAAAAGGGAGAAAGAGAAGTATGGGGTTAGTGAGTATGATCACCTCCCGAGAGGACGTGCGGCATCGCGTCCTCAAGGAGAGCAGCTCGGGGGCTATGGTGGCCTATGAGCTCATCCTGCAGGTGTGGGGGAGGGGAGAGGGTTCTGGGGGGGAAAAGGGAGAAAGAGAAGTATGGGGTTAGTGAGTATGATCACCTCCCGAGAGGACGTGCGGCATCGCGTCCTCAAGGAGAGAAGCTCGGGGGCTGTGGTGGCCTATGAGCTCATCCTGCAGGTGTGGGGGAGGGGAGAGGGTTCTGGGGGGGAAAAGGGAGAAAGAGAAGTATGGGGTTAGTGAGTATGATCACCTCCCGAGAGGATGTGCGGCATCGCGTCCTCAAGGAGAGCAGCTCGGGGGCTATGGTGGCCTATGAGCTCATCCTGCAGGTGTGGGGGAGGGGAGAGGGTTCTGGGGGGGAAAAGGGAGAAAGAGAAGTATGGGGTTAGTGAGTATGATCACCTCCCGAGAGGACGTGCGGCATCGCGTCCTCAAGGAGAGAAGCTCGGGGGCTGTGGTGGCCTATGAGCTCATCCTGCAGGTGTGGGGGAGGGGAGAGGGTTCTGGGGGGGAAAAGGGAGAAAGAGAAGTATGGGGTTAGTGAGTATGATCACCTCCCGAGAGGATGTGCGGCATCGCGTCCTCAAGGAGAGCAGCTCGGGGGCTATGGTGGCCTATGAGCTCATCCTGCAGGTGTGGGGGAGGGGAGAGGGTTCTGGGGGGGAAAAGGGAGAAAGAGAAGTATGGGGTTAGTGAGTATGATCACCTCCCGAGAGGACGTGCGGCATCGCGTCCTCAAGGAGAGAAGCTCGGGGGCTGTGGTGGCCTATGAGCTCATCCTGCAGGTGTGGGGGAGGGGAGAGGGTTCTGGGGGGGAAAAGGGAGAAAGAGAAGTATGGGGTTAGTGAGTATGATCACCTCCCGAGAGGACGTGCGGCATCGCGTCCTCAAGGAGAGCAGCTCGAGGGCTATGGTGGCCTATGAGCTCATCCTGCAGGTGTGGGGGAGGGGAGAGGGTTCTGGGGGGGGAAAGGGAGAAAGAGAAGTATGGGGTTAGTGAGTATGATCACCTCCCGAGAGGATGTGCGGCATCGCGTCCTCAAGGAGAGCAGCTCGGGGGCTATGGTGGCCTATGAGCTCATCCTGCAGGTGTGGGGGAGGGGAGAGGGTTCTGGGGGGGAAAAGGGAGAAAGAGAAGTATGGGGTTAGTGAGTATGATCACCTCCCGAGAGGACGTGCGGCATCGCGTCCTCAAGGAGAGAAGCTCGGGGGCTGTGGTGGCCTATGAGCTCATCCTGCAGGTGTGGGGGAGGGGAGAGGGTTCTGGGGGGGAAAAGGGAGAAAGAGAAGTATGGGGTTAGTGAGTATGATCACCTCCCGAGAGGACGTGCGGCATCGCGTCCTCAAGGAGAGCAGCTCGGGGGCTATGGTGGCCTATGAGCTCATCCTGCAGGTGTGGGGGAGGGGAGAGGGTTCTGGGGGGGAAAAGGGAGAAAGAGAAGTATGGGGTTAGTGAGTATGATCACCTCCCGAGAGGACGTGCGGCATCGCGTCCTCAAGGAGAGAAGCTCGGGGGCTATGGTGGCCTATGAGCTCATCCTGCAGGTGTGGGGGAGGGGAGAGGGTTTTGGGGGGGAAATGGGAGAAAGAGAAGTATGGGGTTAGTGAGTATGATCACCTCCCGAGAGGACGTGCGGCATCGCGTCCTCAAGGAGAGAAGCTCGGGGGCTGTGGTGGCCTATGAGCTCATCCTGCATGTGTGGGGGAGGGGAGAGGGTTCTGGGGGGGAAAAGGGAGAAAGAGAAGTATGGGGTTAGTGAGTATGATCACCTCCCGAGAGGACGTGCGGCATCGCGTCCTCAAGGAGAGAATTTCGGGGGCTGTGGTGGCCTATGAGCTCATCCTGCAGGTGTGGGGGAGGGGAGAGGGTTCTGGGGGGGAAAAGGGAGAAAGAGAAGTATGGGGTTAGTGAGTATGATCACCTCCCGAGAGGACGTGCGGCATCGCGTCCTCAAGGAGAGCAGCTCGGGGGCTATGGTGGCCTATGAGCTCATCCTGCAGGTGTGGGGGAGGGGAGAGGGTTCTGGGGGGGAAAAGGGAGAAAGAGAAGTATGGGGTTAGTGAGTATGATCACCTCCCGAGAGGACGTGCGGCATCGCGTCCTCAAGGAGAGAAGCTCGGGGGCTATGGTGGCCTATGAGCTCATCCTGCAGGTGTGGGGGAGGGGAGAGGGTTTTGGGGGGGAAATGGGAGAAAGAGAAGTATGGGGTTAGTGAGTATGATCACCTCCCGAGAGGACGTGCGGCATCGCGTCCTCAAGGAGAGAATCTCGGGGGCTGTGGTGGCCTATGAGCTCATCCTGCAGGTGTGGGGGAGGGGAGAGGGTTCTGGGGGGGAAAAGGGAGAAAGAGAAGTATGGGGTTAGTGAGTATGATCACCTCCCGAGAGGACGTGCGGCATCGCGTCCTCAAGGAGAGAAGCTCGGGGGCTATGGTGGCCTATGAGCTCATCCTGCAGGTGTGGGGGAGGGGAGAGGGTTTTGGGGGGGAAATGGGAGAAAGAGAAGTATGGGGTTAGTGAGTATGATCACCTCCCGAGAGGACGTGCGGCATCGCGTCCTCAAGGAGAGAATCTCGGGGGCTGTGGTGGCCTATGAGCTCATCCTGCAGGTGTGGGGGAGGGGAGAGGGTTCTGGGGGGGAAAAGGGAGAAAGAGAAGTATGGGGTTAGTGAGTATGATCACCTCCCGAGAGGACGTGCGGCATCGCGTCCTCAAGGAGAGCAGCTCGGGGGCTATGGTGGCCTATGAGCTCATCCTGCAGGTGTGGGGGAGGGGAGAGGGTTCTGGGGGGGAAAAGGGAGAAAGAGAAGTATGGGGTTAGTGAGTATGATCACCTCCCGAGAGGACGTGCGGCATCGCGTCCTCAAGGAGAGAAGCTCGGGGGCTGTGGTGGCCTATGAGCTCATCCTGCAGGTGTGGGGGAGGGGAGAGGGTTCTGGGGGGGGAAAGGGAGAAAGAGAAGTATGGGGTTAGTGAGTATGATCAGTTCCCGAGAGGACGTGCGGCATCGCGTCCTCAAGGAGAGAAACTCGGGGGCTGTGGTGGCCTATGAGCTCATCCTGCAGGTGTGGGGGAGGGGAGAGGGTTCTGGGGGGGAAAAGGGAGAAAGAGAAGTATGGGGTTAGTGAGTATGATCACCTCCCGAGAGGACGTGCGGCATCGCGTCCTCAAGGAGAGCAGCTCGGGGGCTATGGTGGCCTATGAGCTCATCCTGCAGGTGTGGGGGAGGGGAGAGGGTTCTGGGGGGGAAAAGGGAGAAAGAGAAGTATGGGGTTAGTGAGTATGATCACCTCCCGAGAGGACGTGCGGCATCGCGTCCTCAAGGAGAGAAGCTCGGGGGCTGTGGTGGCCTATGAGCTCATCCTGCAGGTGTGGGGGAGGGGAGAGGGTTCTGGGGGGGGAAAAGGGAGAAAGAGAAGTATCATCGTGCGATACCATTTTATCAGAGAGAGGATTCGGGTGCTGAGGAATGTACAGCCAGGGCAGGGAATGTAGAGCGTCAATACCCGCCGGGGCAGGGAATGTAGAGCATCAATACCCGCCCGGGCAGGGAATGTAGAGTGTCAATACCCGCCAGGGCAGGGAATGTAGAGCGTCAATACCCGCCCGGGCAGGGAATGTAGAGCGTCAATACCCGCCGGGGCAGGGAATGTAGAGTGTCAATACCCGCCCGGGCAGGGAATGTAGAGCGTCAATACCCGCCGGGGCAGGGAATGTAGAGCATCAATACCCGCCCGGGCAGGGAATGCAGAGCGTCAATACCCGCCAGGGCGGGGAATGTAGAGCGTCAATACCCGCCCGGGCAGGGAATGTAGAGCGTCAACACCCGCCCGGGCAGGGAATGTAGAGCGTAAATACCCGCCGGGGCAGGGAATGTAGAGAGCATCAATACCCGCCGGGGCAGGGTATGTAGAGCGTCAATACCCGCCGGGGCAGGGTATGTAGAGCATCAATACCCGCCGGGCAGGGAATGTAGAGCGACATACCTGCGGGAAGTGCCACCCCCTTCTCGTGCTCATGAATGAAACTTCTCTCCTTTTCACCCATCTCGCTCTTCTTCCCTCCTCCATCTCTCCATTCTTCACCCCCACAGGCCTGCAACATGGAGTTGCCGTTTGGTGGTGTGGGAGACAGCGGCACGGGGCAGTACAAGGGCCGGTACTCAATCCACCTTCCCATGAAGCCCACTTGTCTTCATCACCACCCACTCCTCCCCCCACCACACGCTCTTCCCTCTCCCAGGCTGTCAATATGGAGCTCCCATTTGGCGGAGTGGGAGAGAGTGGCACGGGGCGGTACAAGGGGCGCTACTCAATCGAATGCTTCAGCAACTGCAAGGCAGTCTACACCAGGCCCCTCTCTGGAGACCTGGCGACTCGCTTCCCCCCCAGCACGCGGCGAGGGGAGATGATTCTTAAGGCGGTATTTAGAGGTGCTTACTGGACGCTGCTGCTGTTGCTGCTTGGGCTTAAGAAGTGCTAGTCGTGGTCCTGAGCCTATGGCTTGTCAGACACGTCAAAAAGAGGGGGGAGGAGGGGGGTGGTTGTGAAGGCGGTGATTCGAGTGGTGTACTGGACGCTGCTGCTGCTGTTCTTGCTGGGGCTTGCAAAGTGCCAGTGCTGGTGCCAGTGCCTGTTAGCTGTGACAGCTGCCGCCTGCTTCCCCTTTAGCATGTGGCAAGGGGAGATGATTGGCAAGGCTGTGATCTAAGGGGCGCATTGGATGCTGATGATGCTTCCGTTGCTGGGGCTCAAGTGTCAAATTTATTATTATACATATATTATATTTCTAAAGTGGCTTAGCTAAGTTGTAGTGCAGTGTAGTTACATCTGTTGGTGGTGCACTATTTCTCAGTGGCTTGTTATACTCAACAAGTAGGGATGACCCCCCTCGATACTCAACAACTCTCTTGCAATAAATTGCAGTCACCCACCCTCCAGACACACTAGTCTGCCTCGTGCTTCCACATCCAATGCACGCTCATAAGCACGGTCAGTTACGCGGCTGTGTACTCGTTTTTGGGAGGCGGTGTGGGGCATGTGGGGAGAGGGGGGAGTGGAGGTGGAGGGTGGGTTGGGATGAAGGGGGATGGTGATGGGGGAAGGGGAGAAAAGGGAGGAAGAGAGAAGGGGGGTGGGATGTGGAATGATGGGAAGGGGAAGGAGAGGGGGAGGGGAGGGGAGGTGATGATTCCACGGAAGCTGTTTGAGAAGCTTCTCGAGGTCAGTGGCAGGTCTGGTGTGAGGTGCTGATGGGCTGGTGTTGCGGAGATAACTAGAACAACGGGAGCTTCACTACGGGGAAGGCACAGAGTGTTAGGGGTGATCTCTGCGTTCCTTAGTCGTTTGCTTGTGTGTTCTCTGCTTGCACATTCACTGGGAGATTTTGCAAGAGTTTCACAAGCAAAAATTGACAACAATGGTACACAATGCAAAGCAACCAAGGACTACATCAGATGCTAGCAAGCATGCAGGTCGATTGCCAGCGTAGCACGGTCGACCGCGTTCCAGCACTGCATGGTCGATCGCACTCCAGTAGCGCAAGGTTGCGGTCTGCCAACGCTGCAAGTCGACGGCATGACAACGCTGCAGCAAGGCGGCTGCACAGCGTTGCACCCGCAGGACAGCAACGCACCTGCTTCGCAGGTGCTCGCAACTGGTTGGCGTGCTGTGCCTCGTCACGTTCACAGCGCAGACACCAAGCTGACCATGTGCCCACGGCTGCACCTGATCCTCCACGTCGACCTCGGGATACCACACCGAAGTCAGCTTCGCACGATCCTCCTGGGCGACTCTCATGCACCCCGCAGTGCCCGTCGCTTGGGTAACTGAGTCGACCGGGCAACCAGGTCGGCGTCCAGACGCCCAGGTCAACGTCCAGGCGCCCAGTGACGGCGTCGCTCACTGCAGCAAGTCGGCTACGCTCCCCGTACACCCGACAACGAATTCGACTCCGCCCAAGCGAGGACGGGGCCAACTAACAACTCCCGTTGACACTCCCCTGCCGCGTTCATGCTTGGGACCTCCACCCTACATGGCAACACTACTCGGAGAATAGCTCGGAGTGCACACAACACACAGCACGCCGGCCACCGCACCAGCCATGCAAGAGGGCATGGCACCTACTGCTGCACGTCGTCGTCACCATCGCCGACGTCGGCCAGGCGCACCTGGCCGATTGCGACGGAGCACCGGTTGAAGGCCGGAAAGTGCAGCGCCTTTGTCAGGAAGTCGGCCGGCTGCTCGGTGGTCGGGATGTACTCCAGCGTGAACTTCCCGCGCTTCACCATGTGCTGCAGCCAGGCGTAGCGTCGCTCCATGTGCTTGAGGTTGCCCTGCAGCCCCAAGCCCTCGGTGACGGTGATGTCCGACTTGTTGTCCACCCGAAGGACAGTCGGCGTCCTGGCGTCCAGCAGCCGGAACTCTGCGAGGAGGAAGCGAAGGCGGCGCCCCTCCTTGCCGGCTTCGGTGGCCACCACGTACTTCGACTCGATCGACGACAGCGTCGCGCACTTGATGCGCTGACTCAACCAAGAGACCGCGGCCCCTCCGTAGACAAACACGTAGCCGCCCGTGCTCGTTCGGTTCTGCTTGTTGCCAGCGTCGTCGGCGTCCACGTAGCCGACCAGCTTCAGCGACTCAGGTCCACTGTCGAACTCCAGGGCGGTGTCGTGAGTGTTGGCGAGGTAGGCGAGGCAGCGGTCGACCTCGTGCCAGTGCTGGTCGCTCCTCACCGTGAGGCCGCTCCCCAGCTTGCTGTAGGCAAAGGCGATGTCCGGCCTCGTCGTTGTCGCCGCGAACTGCAACGAGGCGACCTTCTGCCGGTACTCCTCCTCCTGTCACTCCTGTCCCTCCTCGTCGTCGAACGCCAGCTCCTCGTAGGTGTCGACGGATACCAGCGTCTTTGGGGTGCGCCCAGTCTGCTCCTCGTCGATGAAATGCCTACGCAACTTGTCGACGTAGCCCTGCTGGTGCAGCCACAGCTTCCTCGCCGGCCTCTCACGCACGATCTCCAGACAGAGGTACCTTTCCATCGGCGAGATCTCGCGCTAGAAGGCGACCTCTAGCAGCTCCTTCATCTCTTTCAGCATCACGGTGCTACTACTGGCGGCGAGCAGGTCGTCGACATAAACCAGCACCCAACAGGCCACTTCATTGGCGCCGACCTTGAAGTACAACGCCTCGTCGGCTTGGATCTTCTTCCAGGCGGCGCCCATCAGCACATCGTCGAGCGCCCTGTACCACAGCAGCGGCGACTGCTTCAGCCCGTACAGGCTCTTCAGCAGCTTGCGCACCCGGCCGGTCCCGTCGTTGTAGTAGTCCGGTTGATACATGTACAACACCCGGTCGAGCTTGCTCTGCAAGAAGGCGTTCTTCAGCTTCGTCTTGCGTACGTGGCCACTAGGGCCAACACTGCTGATGTCTTCACCAAGGCACTTCGGTCTGGTGATCATCAGCGCTTCTCTATTGTTTTAGGCCTTGTGCCTACTTTGCCTCACTTGCTCACTGTGTGACTTTGCTTGTACTGTGATCTATATATATACCTGCATGCTTACTCTTGCGAGGCTATGATCACTGTACTGTTTGTGCTCTTTATATCACTCTGCATGTGAACTGGCCTTGTGGCCCTTTGCTTTTGCTCGGAATGTGTGGTGACAGGGTGGATCACCCTGAGCTTGCTTTGCTTTTCTTGACTGGTCTTGTGACCACTTTTTCTCCCCCACTTTGCCTATGGGGGTGTGTCAAAATGTTATATTTCTTACTTTGTGTAGGCTATAGTGGTACAGCCCGATTAGGAATGGTACTTGTACCCAACTTCTGTTCAATGCATTCATTCTCGTTCAGGATTCTGACATGGTTCCGTGTTTTTCACTCCCCCTCGTGTTCGGTTTCTCAGGCGCGCGATGCTAGGAATGGAGGGCGCTGGCGACAATTTCATCACCGAAGTCGGAACCCTTCGCACGGAGATGGACCACACGCGGGCGGCACTTCAACAAATCGAAGCACTCCTCGCGAACCAAACGGCAGCCGCCACAGCAGTAGCGAATGGAGTAGTGAACGCAGCAGCGACAGCAGCATCAGCAACAGCGACACCAAGATTGCACAGACCAGTGGCACCACCTTCGCCGAACCTCAAAGAAGCTCGCCCAAGGCTCCCCGAAGCGTTCGGTCCGAGCTAGAAGGGATCAGACGTTTGACGATTCGTGTCGACCCTCGAAATTTAATTCGAGGCCATTGGCTGTTCGACCACGATGCATGACGCAGCAAGGATTCGGCTCGCTGAGACACTGTTACGAGGCCCAGCACTCGAGTGGATTTACTACATTGACGTGGTGCACGGGGAGAGAACGTGGACGCAGTTTCGGGCAGACCTAATCGAAAGGTCTGAACCAATAAATTCAACCTACATGGCGCGGCAGCAGATTCATCGGCATAAGCAATACGGGAGTGCCGCACGCAGTACACGCGCTAGATGGAGCAGTTATTTAATCGCATCATCGACCTGACCGAATGCGAAAAATTCCAAGCGTACACCGAGGGGCTGAAAATGGAGATACACCGACAGGTCGTCGCCGCGAACGACAGTAGCTACCGCGGCATGGTACGAGCAGCCGAGCGATCTGACGCGTTGATGCATGGTCAACGCAAAACACGTCGCCTCATGCCGAACAGATCGTTCGGCACGGAGTGATCGGCACCCCCCACGTTCGCCGAACCGATGGATGTCGGCAGAATCGACGTGAAGCCGCGGCCAACAAAATGTGAATTTGCATTGCAGCCGGACACCAAATTCGGTCGCGTTACAAAACGAAGAAAGCACGTGCGAAGTTGCGTACAGAATTGGAGGCGAACGAGGCTGCTCTCCCAAGTCAGTTAGCAGGTAGGTGAGCCAGCGTAACTCCTGAGCAGCCATGGCCCCAGCAACCAGCCATGGTTTCTACAGATTTCGAGGTTGGAGACTATTTGGCATTGTTCCAGCTCCTTGGAACTCGGCTCTTGGGGTTTGCTCCTAGACCGCCGTTCTCTCAAACCACTCTCACGACGTGAATTCTGTGTCAAATCAAGTGATTCAACTTTCCAAGTGTAGGCGACGTCAAAACGCTC